TTCCCTTATCCCCGTTTAATAATCATACCACGTTTCACAATTTAAAGTTTAAAGCACATAGTCTTGAACAGTTTCAACTGACCCCACACAAAAACACATTCCCAAACAATCATAAATTCCTTCGGATCGCTGGGGTGATAAACACATGTCCGGTTAGATGGGGTGGGGGGTGTACAGAAACAGGTGTCCAAACAGGTGTCCATTTATGGTAGGAGGAGGGGGGTTTATGAGGGGCAATAAATCAAACTTCTTGACACTTAGGACCTTATACTCTCTCTCTCTCTCCTCTACATCTTGTCAGTGTGAGAAAGAGAATCTGTGAGTGTGAGAGAGAAATGTGAGAAAGCGAGTGTGTGTGCGTGTAACCATAGCTCTGGTGAGTTTGGGTCCAGCGCAGATGTGTTTTATAACTCTCAGTAGGCTGCGCACAATATATCTGGTTACTGTTAACATAGGCGGGGGGCACATGAAGATTGGATTGACTGGGAAATCAGTTGTGGTGTTTGAGGGGCGTACAAACGGGATTCAGTCCTGCTCCCCAATAGTATACATAACACAAAGTAGTAGTCAAGGCATTCTTTTCATATTTTCCCAATGAGCTCAGGTAATGTATGTATGTATAATTGGACAACAAAACCACACAGGTCCTGAAACAAATATCACGATTAGACCGGGTAACATAACATGAAATCCTCAAGTAACTGACAACATATTTAGAAGTTTTAAGCTTTTATTTAAAGGATAAGGTAGTTATGTTAAGGCTTATTAAATCTAAAATGTAAATAAAAGACTGGAAATATCTGGCAAACCTTAAGTTTTAGGAAACACTTTAGTTTAGGGAACAATTCTTATATTATTAGCATATTGGCTGTTTATTAGTACTTATAAAGCACGTATTAATGCCTTGTTCTGCATGATCATATTTTAAACCCCTTAATCCTACCCCATACTAAACTAAAGTGAGACCAAGTTTAATATGTTAAATATATTAGGAATCTGCATACTCTGCCTGTGCTATACTACAGGAACAAGTTTCTCATCATTCAAATCTAACTGTCATGGTAATTCATTTATGAAGATTAACATTACATGCTCCGAGCCCTAAATAATCTTCACAGCTGTTGAAAATAATCCCAGTCATATTTCAAATGTTGCACATGTTCTTAATCAGAACGCTACGCCTGTCAAGTTAACACAGCGTTTCTGTTTAAGTCATTGAAAAGCTTGTAGTTATCTAATATAATAAATGAAAAAGAAAAAGCAGTGTCATCTTATGTACCCTTGGAAAAAATTGCATTTTGTTTGAAAAAGCGTCAAGATCTGTTTGTCAAATACTGGGGCAGCTTCCTTTCTTATTTGGGCATAACAGGATATCATCTAACTTTCTATGCTTTCTTTTTTAATATTATTTACGGATTATTTGTGGCACTATGGGTTGGAGGTTTAGGGCATGTTATAGGGCAGTGTATACAGGAATGATCTATTCAGATTATTCTGTATTTTATATGTTGTGTTTAACCTGAAAAAAAACCAGTAAACATAATGTTCAAAAAAAGAAAAAGAAAAAAAAAAAGCATTTTTTTTCCAGATGCATATAACCACTGAAACGATCTGAACTATTTCCCTCATATTTGGTTCATATCTCATATTACATATCCTATAGCTTTGGAGAAACAGCAATGTCCAAAACTATCCAGAGTGATTCTGCTCTCTTGTAAAAATGACATTTAAACTCACAATTCTGTCTAGTGTCAGCAAACTGTCTGGAAGTGCATATGTGAGTAAAATGATATGCAATCTGGCTTTCTAATTTCTAATACGTTGCAGAAAATAAAAGGAATAACAAGCAAGATAATGTAACAAGAACAATGCTTAAGACTGCACTGACATCATTATGTTTTCTTTTTAAAAGTTTTAAGGCTTTATTACTGAAATTAGATGCCTCTGATTTTAGACATGGGGTCTTAAGAAGTTAAGTTAACTTAAAAAAAGAAAACATCTTGGAAGAATAATTATGTTCAAAATTTCAGAAAAAAAAAAACATTACCACAACACTCTGCAGCTCAGCATGCCTTTCAGTTTCCAGTGCAAATTTAGTGAAGTCTTCAGTCTCTCCGAGGTGTCCCTAAACCCCTGGCACACATTTCACGCTGACAACCGAGCCAAAGAAAGCTTGCTTAGCCCCCAGCAGACTTTTGCATTTCGGAAGTGGAGACAATTCTCTGCGTGTGTAAGTATATAAGGGAGTAAACAGCCAACCAGACGTAGGATTTGCTAAAATATTTTTACGTCCACATTTGTCCACTGGGGAAAGGAGGGTGGAGATGGATATTGAGAGGGGGGGGGTGAAAGTGTTCTTTTCCTTTTAGTAAATGCCTGCGTTCATTTTAAATGCATCTGGCCAGCAACTCTGTGTGAACACCAAAGCGAGAAAGAGAGAGAGAGAGAGAGAGAGGCAAGACGGCAAACACATCCAAGAGGAAGAACTCCAGCATTACACACACACCTAACAACCTGAAAGATTAAAGACAGATGTGCTACAGCAGTGTTTATTGTGTAGTGTTTATACGTGCTGCAGTAATGTTTCATCATCTTTCACAGTCAACGAACATGCAAATGTCTGTGCATCTATCTCTTCTTTCTAATGTAAATTTCCTGCATTCCTGCTAAATGAGTGCTGGTCACTGGTCTCACAAGAGTTCTGGGCTCTGCCTCTATGAATTGTGTCCTCTATCAAACATTTTACCCAGAGTGTGAAACCAGATAAGCTTCTTAAAACACAGGAAATTGAGAAACGTCAGAGGTTCCCCATTCACTCAGCTCTCTAGTTACCATGGAGACGACCCAGCGAGAGACCCCTCAGAGGTCACGGGCAGATGTGTTCTAACAATTTCATAACAAAGCAGATAATGATGTCTCCAATGAGTGGGGCTAAGATAACCGAAATTTGGCCAATTACGGATGACATTACACAGAAGCGTGAGTTTGTTTACAAATCAGTGCGTGTGATTTTCATCCAAACAACTGAAGTGACAGAACATACGGTTTCTCTAGCTTTTGAGTTTCTTAGTGGCTGTCAATGCCAGTGTCTGTAAACTATTTCTTCAATAAACGTTTGATCTACGGAAAACAATGTTGCAACAAAAACTTTTTGGTGGGGTTGCATGTTTAGAGCTATTGTTGAAATCGGAGTGTCTCCTGAACCTGCTGGCTCAAATTCAGCCTCTGTTTCGAAGAAATACTAGAACTATATAGAACTAGGCACACAATTGATTCAAAAAGGACCCTGGAATGCTGCTGTTGCCAGTAAACTGTAGAATTTGGAATCAGAATCAGTCTGGACATACTGAGCCATGCTAAAGCTATAACTTAAGACCATTGGAGGCTGAAGGGGGACACACTGTACGGCTACTAAAAATGACAACTTTTAACAGCAGAAGTATAACTCACGTAACTGACATCACAGATGAACAGCAGCTGTTTTTATAGAGAAAATGGAATTTAAATCACATACAACTTTGATTTAACTTTAAAGCTGTATCAACAGTCAATGACCAATTAAACTCCCCTCATAGCATTCATTACTGTGCACAAAGTAGCTTTAATTTCATTTTTTGACTTCACTAATCCATGACCTGATATTTATATTGATCACCAAGAGGATGAATATGAAAGCATGTTCAAAATATGTGTCGTGGTTTGTTTTCTAGTGTGTTGATGTGTTGTTTCCAATTGTGACAGTGAGTGTGACATCCGAAGTGCACTTACTCAAAGCCATATCCATCCTCTGTCCCTGAAATATTTCCCTCTTCTCAAACACTTCCTTCTGCCAGAATGGGAAAAAGAAAGCCTGCAAGCAAGCAAGCTTGAAAGAAAGAAATCCAATGTAAAACAAGTAAAACAATGACATGTTTGAAGTCAATAATAATTTCAATTTTGGGGGGGGTTTTGTCTGATTACTATGTTCACATGCTTATTCTGGTCTCAGGTTTTATTCTAATTAAGTTAACAGATGTTAATGGAAATTCTGGACAGAATGAGCTCAGATCTTGCATTATGGGTTTTGTGCCTCTGCACTCAAGGTCTCACTTTTGTGTTTATTTGAAAAACTAAAACTAGTAAAACTAGCTTTAAAGCAATATGATTTTGTGTTAAGGCTTATGGAGTAAGCTTACTGTACTGCACATACTGGAACCTGGGCCTTTGAACACTGACCTCACACTGTGAGTCTTGTTGTGAAGATTTTTTTTTTGTGTAGCTCCAAAATTTGGGATCACTCTGGATAGTTATGGAGCACCAGTTCATTTGTCTCTGGGTCATTCTACAAATGTGGTGGCCTGTCCATCTGAAAAATGATCAAAAAACACAACTCATTAATTTCACATTAAACCCACAATGCTACATTAATTATATATTATTCCATAACCATACTGTTATTTCTCATTTTATTAAACATCACACTAAATACTAAATACTACATAATTTATCATTAGCTGCCATGATGTTTTCTCAGTGATGTCACTCTTAAATAAAATGAATGAGGACCAGTAACACCACTTAAAGGAAGAATTCTGCCAAAAAAAAAAAAAAAAAACATAATTTACTCACCCGCATGTCGTTTCTTTCTTGTGCTTGCAATAACATCACTGAATTTTAATCTTAAATAACTGATGTTCTAAGTGATTAAAGTAATTGTAAAAATTAATTATAAGGTAATACTACTCAAAGTTACAGTTATTTACAGTGGTTTAGAGAACATATAGTTTTCTATAAGAATTGAGTACATCGCTGGTTACCTGTGACTGTAACTGCAAGACTCCTCCAGAGAATTACAGATTTTCACCATAAAAACACTAAATCTGAAGAATAAAAAATGACACATGTACACATTATATTGGGCTGAGAAAGAGCAGTATTCTCAGGTCATGAGAATCCCTGCTAAACACTCATAACATAAACAATACATACACAGCATAATTTGGAAATGTCAGCTCAATTTAGTGAGCCAAAGAAGCCTTATGAATGTAAAAAAAAAAAAAAAAAAAACATCCTGGCTCCCTGGAATGAGC